ATCTGCACTGACTGAAGGCCTGACAGAGCTATCCCCAAGACTGTCCCTACCTCTGGTAGGTGGGATGTCCCGGTCCCTGTTCAAGAAAACAGAGGCAAAGAAACTGTTAAAAATATCAGCTTTCTTGTCTGGCGTGGCCACCAGATTATCGTTTGTGTCGTGCAGGGGCCCTACATTGCCTGGTGCCCTCTTCTTGCTCCCAATGTACTTGAAAAAGGACTTTTTGGTGTCCTTAATCCTGGACACTTGCCTGATCTCCATCTCTGCCTTGGCCTTCCTAGTAGCCCACCTACATTCCCGGGCCGAGGAGGAGTACTCCTCCTTGGTGATAGCTCCTCCCTTCCACTGGTTGTGCGCCGCCCTTTTAGTCCTCAGACATTCCTGACTGCCCTTGCTGAGCCAAGGGGGTTTCTGAGCACTCTTACCCCCTCTTGCTTCTCTCAGGGACTGTTAACCTTTGGGCCTGGAGGATCGACCCCTTAAGGTACGACCATCCCTTGTGGACTCCCATCTCCTCTACCTTCTGGGCCCTCAGTGCCTCCCCCACTAGTCTCCTAAGCTCATTGAAGTTGAACCTTCTGAAGTCAAGGGCTTTAGCCTTGGTGTGAGCCCTTGACGCCCTGCGTTGGATAATGAAATCCAGCAGGTTTCACAGATTTCATAGATTTCATAGACATTAGGGCTGGAAGGGACCTCGGAAGATCATCGAGTCCAGCCCCCTGCCCAAAGGGCAGGAAGTCGGAGGTCAGACTAGATGATCCCCTCAGGTCCCTTCTGACCCTACCAAGTATAAAACTATGAAGTCAGCTGGGGTCACAGGATCCCAGCAAGATAAGCATCCAATTTACTCTTGAAAGTGTTCAATGTAGGTGCTTGAACCACCTCTGATGGCAGGCTATTTCAGACCTTGGGGGCTCGGACAGTAAAGAAATTCTTCCTTATGTCCAGCCTGAAACGGTCTTGCAGTAGTTTATGACCGTTCGACCTCGTCATCTCTTGGGGCGCTCTGGTGAACAAACATTCCCCCAGGTACTGCTGGTCACCCCTGATAAACTTATAGGTGGCCATCAGATCACCCCTGAGCCTGCATTTTTCCAGGCTAAAGAGCCCCGTGGCTCTCAGCCTGTTGTTGTAAGGTCTGTTTTCCTGATCTTGTATCATGCGCGTGGCTCTTCTCTGGACTCTCTCAAGCTTCTCCACATCCTTTTTGAATTGTGGAGCCCAAAACTGGTTGGAGTCCTACCTCTGAGGCCCAGTCCGGCCCTTTAGTAGCATACAAGGCTTGGGTCTTGCCCTGGCAGCTGTGAGCAACCTAGACTTTGTTGGGAGGCTTCTGGTTTCCTTGTGCTCCTCAGGGCCTGCCTCAGTTTCCCTGGATGGCTTCTTCCCATGGGGGAAAAAAGAAGAACCAGCACTGGGGAGACCTGCCTGAGCCACTAAGTTTCCACTGGGTGCCATGCTCCCTGTTGGGGGCTGTGAGGAGCTGTAACACTAGCAAACTTCCACACCTCGTTCCCAAGGTGAGCCTGCAGGTTTGCAGCCAGGATGTAATGTCCTGCCCTGCCGTGGGTCTCTGGAGGGAGAAGCGAAGCCATTTTCATTTTTCTGCAGTCAAATACAGGGTAGAAGCTAAATGCTGGGGCTCTCTCCTAGGAGGGGGCTCCCAGTATAACCTGGACAAGCGGGTGCTTGGGTCTAATGAGATTGAGAACCACAAGCCTATGGGCTCCATCTGTGGGTAACTGGCCTGGGCTGACACAGCTAGCAAGCTCCATACAAATACCTGCTGGTGCCAGCCTGGCCTGGGAGGCCTGGATGCTCCAGAGGCTTGAAGAGATAGAGGCCCAGAGACTGCTGGGCGTGGGGCTGCTGCTTTCCCAATAGAGGTGGCTGGAGCCTAGATCCTATGGTGGTTCTGTGTCTGCCTTGGCTCCAGGTGTGCTGCATCGCCTGGACAGAAAAGGCCCCTCTCCAGCGGCTGAGCCAGGGTGGGAGTGGGGGGACTTCTCTGGGGAGTTGGGACCATGCTAAGAGCTGGCCTGCACTCAAGGTTGGGGGTTCTCAAGGTGGAGAGGGTGTCCCAAACCAGTGCTCCCCTTCCTGGCAAGCACTGTCACTGGACTTGGGCACTGGGGGTGCTCCCAGCATAGACCATCTCCCTGAAGACAAAACACTGGTAAGGCAGAGCTGCATCTGGGGTGGGAGTGTCTGACAGCTTGGGACAGGAAGTGTTGCAGGGCAGTGGGAACTGCGGGCAGCACACAGGAGGCATCACTGGACCTCAGGCCCAGAGGCCCGAGGCCCACACACACAGCTCCCCCCACTACTGTAAACACAGCCCAGCACACTGGGGGGGTGGGGAAGGAGGGTCTCCACTCTATGCTACCCAGGCAGGGCCAGCAATGAAAAGCCCACATCGTACTGTGCTGCCCCACTCCCCAGCCACCCTAGTCTGTGGGCAGCTTGGACCCTTTAGGCCCTGAAGCACCAAAGCAGAGACTTCCACAGGGTCAGTCTTCCATTGAGTGGCACCTTCCCATCAGGGCTTCACTACAACCCAGTTATGGGGACCCAGGTGTCCAGAAGGCCCCCCTGGCCTTCAGTGGGACTTGGGGATGTGGCCACCCACATAGAAATTCCTGGTGATCTTGGGTGGGGTGAACTCGGTCCCCTCCAGCTTTGGGGTAAGGATGATCTGGCAGCCTAGGCAGGAGTTCTCCTGCAGCAGCAGGGGCCAGGCCATGTTCAGCATGTCCTCCTCCCTGTGGGGGCAAGAGGGGTTGGGACTGTGTCCTTCCCACCTGGGGGAGGGTGGGGGAAACAAGACTCCTCCTGGCTGCTGAGATAGGGACATCCACTGCACCAAGGAGGGGGAGCCCCATGAAAAGGGGGTGCCGCAGCCAGTCACACAGGATCAGAGCAGGACCTATGTGTGCACCACCACCAACCAGCACAGCACTGTCAGCCAGTCCATGGCTGTCCAAGTGGCATGTGAATGGCATCAAAGGTGAGCAGGTACTCCAAGGGGACAGGGAGTGGGAGGCTGTGGGATTTGGGAGCCCCCAGGGGTTTCCCGAGTAAGCTGAAGGGGGATGGAGGTCTGCACATAGGACTGAGTAGAGGCAGGTGTCAGACTTAGGGCCTGAGGGAGCCCCTCACAGGGCTGAGTTCCACTTGTTTGAAGGTTAACAGAGCTGGGACTGGGATACAGACCCCAATAGCTGGGGCCTCTCACTGCCCAGCCCCCCACAGGCCAAGATTCGGGCTACACCGTGCACTGTACACTCTCTCCAGACAGAGAACAGGGCTTGTCATGCTGGCCACTGGCCAGATCACTCTAAGCCAAGTCTGAGGCCATGCCTAGTGTGACCACTGGTCTTGTTTTATACCAGACCATCCTATTTTAAACCCTTTGTCTCCTGTCCATTTCTGAATGAGGAAAGGACTGCAAAACATCTTATTTTTCAGTTCATTAGTAGAAATACATGTTAATCATTTATCGTAATTCCAGAGGTAGGGCCAGGAGGAGCAGCATTTGGAGCCAGCTAGAGAGGGAGGTGGAGGATCCCAGGGGCTGGTCCTTCTGTGCCTGTGGGAGGAGCCATGTGCAGGCACAGTGAGAGCCAAGGTGCTCCTGCACCTGAGCTCCCTGACCCTGGGCTGGGTGTGTGCAGGTGGGCCTGGGCCCCAGGGCCAGCTGAGCTGAGCTGCCAGGGCCAGGCAGTTGTACACACACACACACACACCCCTGCACTGCCTCCAAGCAAGGTAATGGCTTTGAGAACAGGCAGGTGGAACACTGCATTTTTTATCTGCTGGAGCATGGGTGGGACTGGGAGGAGGCTCTTGTCACCATATTTGCACCCACAGAGCAGTCCAGTGAGTCCCTGAGGTGTGCTGCTGTGTGGGGAGAGGGAGCTTTGGGTACAGGAGCTGCTGGGCTCCTGGGAGGTTGGGCTAGCTCATTAAGCCATTATTTCTCCTCTGGGACGCACAAACCTGTCTGTCTCCCAGGGAAGGAAGAGAAGGTCCTGCCAGGCAGCTGGCTGCACTGCCACAGGCATCCAACACCCACCAATCCACTCAACCCATCTCTGACCAGAATGTGGCCAGGGCAGATAAATATATATATTTATTTATTTTAAAATAAATTTTTCATGTTCCAAACCAATTAGCCAAATCAAGTCCAAATCCGTGAGTCAGTCCAGAACCATAAGTGGCCCTACAACCAGCAAACATCCTCTACCCCCACCAGGGGCTTCAGATATTTCAAAAGTCTTTTGGCAGGTATCCTACATGCAGGCCCAAACCCGAAGGCTTGGGTTTGGATGCCCCCAAGTTTTGCCTGCCCTCAGCCATATGGCTGCAGAAGAAAGCTAGGGAAAAGCCTGAGCAAAATGGTGGCAGAGGAAATATCCTGACCAGCATTCCCTCTAAGCTGTGTGGCATGCGTGGCCACGCAGGCATGCCTGGCAGCATGGCATGAGCGCACCTGCATGGCCACTCATGCTGCGCAGCTTAGAGTAAACACTGACCCTGACCAAGGTAGCGCAGTTAAAATGGCACTGTGTAGTGGAGGATTACACCCTTGTCTGCTTGTGGACAGGACTCTTTACGAGAGCCCAGTAGCTAGCTTCCCACTGGCCAGATTCCAGTGGGAGGATCTCAGCTACACATAGACTGCATGGACATGGGAGACTTCTCCCTAGCTTGCTCCTGCTGCCATACAGCTGAAGGCAAGCAAAGCTCAGGGGCATCCTAACCCCAAGCCTCTGGGCTTGAGCTTGGGTTTGCATGTAGGATGCCTGGCAAAGGATTTGGAAGTATCTGAAGATCCAGGCTGGGGTGGAGGATACTTGCCGGTAGCAGGGCCACACATGATTCCTGAATGATTCAAACAGATTTGGACCTGATTTGGCTAATTTGACTTGGGACACAACTTTTTTATTTAAAAAAATGTGGCCAGAGCAGATTCCCAGAGAGGGGTGGGGAGGGTTGGTTTGCTTTACTTTATTGGTATAGTATTCAAATTAATAAATATTATAATAAAAATAGTTATAATCATTACTGTTTATTAATTTGGTTCTCATGAACAAAATGGCTACTCTCTGCATTCAGTGTCATTAAAAGTGCAAAATAACAGAGTTAATATTTTACTATAACAGTCACCAATAACCCAAGGCTGGTGCCATTTTCCTAGTCTTTTTGTGGTGGCCCACCCCTTGCTGCTGATTGGCCATGGGGCCAGTGGTCCTGTCCTACCCCTCACCAAAGAGAGGTCCTTTATTCTGGGGGTGCATCAGTGGCCACCCTAGCTGCACTGGGTGCTATACAACCCCCCAAGCTGAGACTGGGACTGTGTCAGGCACTGTACAACCCCCTCCAGGCAGAAAACAGGTCCCTGTCATACTGGGCACTGCCAAG